CATCCAGGCTTCTTTCTGTGATGCGCTGTGCATGGGGATGCCTTCCAAAAATGCTTCGAAATTGTACCTATTTTGAGAGTAAGTCTAGCGTACAAGATAGGAGCTGCGGTGGCTCAAGTGGTTAAGATGCTGAACTGCAGGCTGTGGAAGATCGGTAGTTCAGCTGTTCAAGACCGGAGTGTGCCGCATGACGGAATGAGCTCCCGTCTCTAGTTCCAGCTCCTGCCAACCTAGCAGTTTGAAAGCAAGAAATGGCGAGTAGATAAATAGGAACCACTTCGGTGAGAAGGTAACCTTTACCTTTTACTAGCGTACTAATCTGCATCTGCCTTTAGCACTTCAGACTTCTCTGGTTGGACCTAGAACTGCACATAGGTGCCTCGAGAAATATACAGCCCAAGAGTTCATCCACTGTTGAGCCAGAGTACCCAGCAGCTGAAATGATGTCATAAGCGTGCTTTTCTACATCACCTTGCTTGAAAATTCGCTGTAATGCTTAACTTCCCCCCTTTACATTTAAATAACTATGCCAATGAACTGTCATATCTTAAAACACGTTACAAGTATTCAAATAAATATAACTTCCAAGGAAATTCATGGAATCCGAATCTAAAGGGCCTTATTAGCAACTTCACGGCCTCCCCTGACTCAAGGGAGGAAATTATACCATTCCTGAAAAATGGTGTTGTCCAGCCTCTGCTTGAAAATCTCTAGTGAGATTTAATTTTAATTTTTTGACTATAACAGGGGTCCCCCAACATAGTGTCCGCAAGTGCCATGGTGCCCACTGAGAACATTTTGAGCAAGTGGGCAGGGCTTCTGACTGGCCATTGGATTGGCTGGGCAGATAAAAATGTTGCTTTGGAAGTAGTTGCCACCACAGCATAAGGACTGAAGATAAGCTGTATTGAAGAAAATATTTTAAAACACTATATTTTAAGTATTTAAATATAATATATATATTTATTAAATATAATATATATATATTTTGAAAAGGCATCCTGTTACACAGATCTTCTACCTGAAATGTTGAAGAGTTATGTCACATGAGCTGGATGACCCCTCGTTGCTGTCGCTGGTCCCCTGCTGCTCTGACCTATATGCCACCGCAGCCTGCCACCCGAGGAGTGGGGGTGGGAGAACCACAAAGGTCTCAGACTATTGGGAGGGGAGGAGGTTACGTCACCACCCTCCGCTCTCCCTTGGCATATTCAGACAACTCATTCTCTCTCTCCGCCAGTGCCTTCTCATCCTCCCTCGGCCTCTGTCTCTGTTCCCCCTTTTATTCCCGCTCTGTGACACCTGCGCTCCCCTGTGGTCCGGCCTCCACCCAACGCTGCAGCCCCACCCTCTCTTCTTATGCCGGGACACTGGGCTGGGGGTGTGGTCTCCTTCTGGCTCCCTCCCTATGGCCCTAGCGGCTGCGCCAGTCCCGCGTCTCTCTCCCTCCAGGCAGCTCTGGGCTGTGGGCGTGCCTTTGCGCCGGGCCAGTGGCCTGGCACGGTCCCCTCCCCTTGTCCCGGGACACCTCCCCCTGGAGCCGTCCGTCCATCGATGGTGGCGCTGGCCGGACGCCTCAGAGGCGTCTGGTTGGGTCCTGGCCGAGGTGGCGTCGGCGCGGCTGATCGGCCCCAGTCTCCATCAGGTGCCGTTGTGGTCGGGGCTGGGGTGGTCGGCGGCTCCAGAGTCCCGAGCGGCGGTGGCCAGCCCTGGGGAGGCTCGCCCTCGGGACAAGTTACTATTAGAGTTATGCATAACCTAACTCCCTAACATTTCCTGGCTGGCTCTGCCCCATGTCTCAGAATTCAAGAAGTGCCTGCAGGCTCAAAAAAGTTGGGGATCCTGGATTACATCAAGTAAACCCCTTGAAATGCGCTGCATTGAATTTTGTCCCCTGATCAAGCACTTTCAACTACCAGAAGAGCTTTTGAGGGTTAGTTATAGAGCATTCACAGTTAATATAGGATGGGAATGCCGCCCATTCTAGAGACCTGAGGTCTGCAGGTACAGGCAGAACTTCCACAGCAAAATGGGCTGAAAAGGTCCATTGCTACATTTTGTTTGTTTAGACAACACATTATGGAGACTGTTCTTTTAGCAAACTCAAACACTGCTCAAGACAGTCCTGCAAGCTATGTCAGCATGAACAGTTACTAATTAAACAAGCATAAGGGTTGCGTCAGTAGTACTGTGCTGTTATTTCCACCATTGCCTACACCACACAGTTGGCATTTGTTTAAAGATTGAAGGCAACTGGGGTTGCATCAGGGCAATGAGAACAATGCACTGAAAGAAGCTATATCCACCCATTGGAAAGTGATGCCCCAATGCAAAGCTGTCTCTGTTTGGCAATTTCATATCCATGATTAAGGGGTGCTTTGAAGGTGGGCGAGAATAGTAGATCTACGGGGATCTCAAAAGGAGTCTGTTTCCACACCCTACAATAAGGCAAGACCCATTCTGATAAATTCCGGACTTCCAACCAGGAGACTAAAGGTCTTGAAAACTATGGTTTTCTTTCTGTTGGTTAAGCAACAAGTTTCAAGGGGGTTGAGAAGAAATATAAATGAAATACCATGATCCTATGTCTTTGTTACGCATGCACTTCTCTTCGGCCACCGTGGAGGCTGTCCTTTGTGCGGGGTGCCTCTTCTAGTGCTAGGCACTTTGGGCCCCCCTGAAAAACACTGATCTTGTGCAAGCAGAAGAGTCTAGAGAGGAAGCACACTCTGTAGCCTGAGAGAAGCCCACATGACTCAGAATATGCAGAATGCTGTGGGAAAACTCGCAATATCCAGCCTGGTCCATGAATCAGCCCAGCTTACCTGGCACCCATCCATTCAGTCAATTCAGGGTGCTATCTTAGCTGGCAAAGCCTTTTCTCACAATTCTGTTCTGACTCTTACAAACCAAGCTGACAACATTCCTTCAAGTTCATACCTCCGTAATAATAATAATAATAATAATAATAATAATACCTTTCAATTTATTGATCGCTCAATCCGGCAGAGCTGCTGGCTCTGAGCGATTTACAGTTACACAGTTTCACACAAGGGACTAACAATTTCATAGGGGTAAGGGAGGACAACATATAATTCTTTAAATTGCACACGTTTTGCAGCCGATGGGGATTTTTGTTCAGCTGTAGGCTTCAGACGTGTTCCGGAGGCATTCACTTTTCGGCTTGGCTTGATGACATTGGTTCTTCCTGGGCTGCTTTGAATCGTAGCACCGCACTGCCACCGCCTGGCCGGATTGTCCCATTACAGGCTTCTTAATGCCGAAGAGGTCTTTTTATCAGGCTTCCGAGCTTCCGAGCTGGACATTCCATTTCGCTGGCTATACCCCCAGGAGAGCATTATGCTCTTCACAGAAGAAATTACTGGTGGTCCCCAGCCCTAGAGATCCGGCTGTCCTCGACCAGGGCAAGGGCCTTCTTGACCCTGGCCTGGTGGAACTCTCTGCCTAATAACATCAGGGCATAAGATCCTGCAGGGCCTTTAGGGCAGAGATGTTCCACCAGGCATTTGGTTGAGGACAGCAACAGTTGACCTCACTGCTGGCACCCTACCCTATCTGACTCTCCTATCCCTTGCGAATTATTCCCTTCCCATGCCCACGAAGCACTCGCAGACCAGAAACAGGAGAGAACTACAAAACACAAATTTGCCACTTGTTATAACATGTCGCTGTATATAATATATTGGATATGGCTTTATGGTTTTTAATAGTTTTAAATGTGTTCCATCGCCTAGAGCTGGACAATTTGTAGAAGAATCTGGGACACTGAAGCCCAAATAATCCAGGCAGGTGCTGGGGGTACTTGCTCCCCCCTTTCCCTCGGCCTCAGATATGTACCAAATAGTATAGCACAATACTTCTCTAACTTGGTGATCCCACTGCAATGCAGAGCCTTTATGCTAGCCAGATTTAATGTTTTCCCCTCATCTTGGGTTTCAGGTAGATATAGAGGTATCCCGAAATGTGATAGAATTTGTAATTGCTCATCTGGAGAACCTGATACCTTAGATCACATCTTATTACGCTGTCCGCTCCACTCACCCCTTCGATTACTTTGGATTAAGCCCATACTGTCTGGGATTAACTCTGAAAATGTAATTAGGTACCTTTTAGCTGATGAGTCACCTGAAGTTACTGCACAGATTGCTGAATTCTTGACTAATGAATTTTATTGTTACGGCACCCAGCCAGCAAAAATTCTTGACTAAGATCTTGGCAGTAAGGAGTTTTTTTAATATTGACGTGTTTTAAGAAGGCAGGTGTAATGATACCTGATGAAGTAACTTATTTATTGTCTTACATGCCAATAAAGATGTTGTATTGTATTGTTTGTTGCCTAGCACCCCAAATTTGTAGGGATTAGGCGATTCATAAATGTTACGAAATAAATATTTTTTAAAAGTACCAGCACAGAGGGCATACTCACTCCACACTTTTGGTTGCCAATGCTGTAAAATATACACTGACAAACAAAGTCGGGCTTGCATTTAAGTGTTTACAAAGATTTAGAGCCAAAGCAGTCATTTAAAAATGCTGGAAGGGCCCAATCCTGAACTAGCCCGTAGAGAGGCAGGCTGAGGTGCTCTTGGTTCCAGCCCCTTTAAAATGGTAGACATGTCATCATGGTGACCACGAGGGTATCTTATCTGTCTGTAAGAACTCCACACACCAGAACCACAGAGTTATAGAAAAATATATTTCGTCATTGTTCAAGCAAGAGGAAAGCAAGTGAGTTCCAAAGGTTTGACGATGATGAAGCGTGCTAATCTGCCCTTTTGCCAGGATAAGAGAAGCCATCATTTCCCTTTTGGGCCAGGCAATAAGGGTCAACCATAAGATAGCAAGGTAAGTAAAAAAGGAATTTCCCAGCGGCAGTCTAACTTTGTGCTTCCTTCAAATCACAGGGGGAAGAGTATGCATGCATACTTACCCATGCACCACCCTGGAGAAGCAGCTCATTTTTGTCACTCATGTCTTACCTCTGTCTCTGGCCGGGGAATGAAAACTGGGGGTTTCATCTTGAGTGTCAGGTCCTGGAAATCCCACTCACCAAGGACATATTGGACAGGCATTCTAGAATAGGAGGGAAAAGAGAATTACAGTGTGTAACCCACAAGGTCTTGTGATCACACTCACCTTACCATCCTCCTCCTCCTCCACCAAAGCAAGGAAAACTATACTGCACTACATTAGGTGTGAAGGGGGAGGGAAAGATGAACAGTCAGTGCTGTCCTAGAGTTTGAAAATGTTTTTTGATGAGAAATTAACTACTGAACAACTTTTAACAAATCTCCCCAATTATACATGGTAGAGCAGCAGACAGACTATCAAGGTGTACGCTGGAGCATCCGAACCTTAGGGCTCACTGACTGCTGCTCTATTTGAACCCTTTCCAGATATCCTGAGAAAGCAATTAGCAATCTCCCCACAAAGAGTAAAATTCTTCCAATTCCAGGTAGCATGTTTGTATTTAATTTATTAAAATTATTTTTTCAGTCTAAAGACTTTCTAGAGGGCCCATAATAACCATAAAAGCAACATAAAACTATCATGAGTCAGCACAGAAAGACACAACAGCAAAATGTCAGTGATGCTTTGTACTTTTCATCACACAATCCGGAATAAACAAATCATTACAGATTGGCCAAAGGCAAGCAGGGATCAGGCCAGGCAGGCCTCCCTTAGGTGATATTCTTACTTTATAATATTCTTACTTTCAGCATTTTGAACTAGACTGAGAAACACAATGGTAACCAATAGTGAACATAAAAGAGTTGCGTACAGCAAACACAGTAAATATTCTAACCAATGCATTTTGAATCAACAGAAGTTTCTTAACACCTTTCAAAGGCAGATCTATGTAGAATACAATATAAGTATATATAGTTATAATATATAACTAATAAAGGTAGCTGATCTCGATCCATCTGGCTCATGAATGCACTTATTGAGTTAAGGCAGGGATCCAACAACTTTGAGATCCGTTTACTGGTTTCAAATGGTTATGTATTTCAGCTCCTAAACACATCCAGATCTAAGAAAAGCAGATTAGAGATCACTGCTATCTTTATTCTCAGCAAACCTTCAGTGACATAAAGTACTTTGATTAAGGCATGAAAGTATCTACCTTGCTTAACAGGTCGGACTCTCTAAACTCAGTTTTCTGCATCTTCTCATTCTGTTTTATTTTCTTACAGAAGAACCCCCTGCATCTTAAAAGTTAATACCACCTTTGAAATAGTTTCTCCAAGGAAGTGTCCCTGGCACTAATGCCATCTATTGTTGTTTTTATAATTACGCTTGATTTTATGGTAAAGCTCATCATGTTCCTGTATTTCCATGGTTTCATGGAATTGTGAATATTATCAGTTCCTTATGAGCTACCCTGGATGATTTATAAGGAAAGACTGAACACACTGAACAAGAACACAACCTTTCATATTCTTCTGCCTGGAAAGCTTGGACCAAAGATCCCCTTTGCCCTTTGGGCAAATCCAGATATGTGATACAGTTCTGTGCTCATCTGGAGACTTATTCCCACTGTCTATGACTCAAGGAGTACTTTCACAGTATCAGTGAACTATGCATAGGCACACAGCCACCAACCCCTTAGCCTGGAAGAAGAGACTGGATTTATACCCTGCCCTTCACTACCCAAAGGGGTCTCAGAGTGGCTTACAATCACCTTTCCCTTCCCCTCCCCACAACAGACACCCTGTGAGGTAGGTGGGGCTGAGAGAGCTCTTTCAAGAACTGCTGGTGAGAGAACAGCTCTGAAAGAACTTGTGACTGACCCAAGGTCATGCCAGCAGCTGCATGTGGAATAGCGGGGAATCAAACCCAGTCTCCCAGATTAGTGTCTGCGCTCCTAACCACTACACCAAACTGGCTCTCAACTGACCTAACTGGGCATGTGCACCCACGACTGCTATCCTTTTAATTCTACAGAAAAAAACAATTCTGCACGGACTCCTCCTCTGATAGTCCAGTTCCAGACTGGACATAAAATATCTCCATTACTGTGCCTAGACTACAGTAACTTGGTGACACTAATCACAACCTCAATTTGTTTCCATGAACAAATTATATGGGAGGCTGAGAGATAACTTCCCTCCATTAAGCTGCATACCCCAGGCCCCACTAAAGAACAGCAGAAAGAGGGGCATTCTGGTCATATGGACTCCTTCAACAGACCATACACCAGACAGTCTTCAACCTTTTTTACTTAGTACATTGGCCTGACGCAGGCCCTGTCCTTGGGTATAAGCAACATTTACCCTAGCCCCATTGCTGGTCCAAGTTATGACTAATTAAAGCCAAGTAAGTAGCAGCTGCCTTATTTGAGTACCTTGAGGAATACAGATTGAGCGAGCAGGCTTTTAATATTTGAACTGTCATTTGAGAAGACCATTTTTGGGACCAAAAGACTTCATCTGAAATAGTCATGTTTTACGAGTTGCGTCAGTTTCTATAATTTTTAAACCATTTTAGGCTGTAATCCCAACAACACTTTCTAGGGAATAAGTGCTATTAAACTCAGTGAGATTCACTCTCTGCATATTTTCTCTGAACAGCTGTGTACTCATTTCTCAGGATTTGCTGCCAGCTTTTCTTCTAGGAGCACTTTTCTTACTCCACTAAGGCAAAGTACTGTCTGTTCTCCCCCTTCGCCTGTAAATCCTGTCCATGTGACTCTTATCTTAGAGACTGACATATGAGTTTATTGGCCTGATTTTCGTATCTAATTTCAGTCTCCTGTGAGAGGACATCTGCAGACTGTAATTAACAGTTATCTCAACATTTGCTTAGGCTAATTAATACTGGTACGGAGATCAAGGGAAAATCCTATCTGTACATTCCTAGGTCAGATTGATAAGATATCGAACAGATTGCCTCACTTGATATCAGACCTAGATGGTGCAAGTAGCCTGGTATTTTGACACACCAAGCAATTGTACAAACTGTGATTATGACAGGAAGATCGTGGAATGCATTCTCTATGAAGGCAGACAGCTGATGCTGTGAACTACACTTGCCTAAAATCCAAGAAACGGGCACAGACTCTGCTCTCTAAACAGGAGAGTGAAATACCCTGGGCTATATATTTACACACTGTAATCTGAAACTGAATAACTTAGAGTACTGGTAAGGTTTCCCTTGCTCGAAAGCTAGTCGAATCTGATTCTAGGGGGTGGTGCTCATCTCCATTTCCAAGCCAAAGAGCCAAAGCTGTCTGCAGACTTCTCTGTGGTCATGTGGCTGGCATGATTAAACATCAAGGTGCATGGAAAGCTGTTACCTTCCCACCGAAGTGGTACCTATTTATCTACTTGCAATATCTTGCTTTCGAACTGCTAGGTCGGCAGGAGCTGGGGCCAGAGACGGGAGCTCACTCCATCATGCGGCACTAGGGTCTCAAACTGCCGACCTACAGACCTTCTGGTCTGCAGCTCAGTGTCTTAACCTCTGAGCCACCGCAGTCCATATGCAAATTACAATATCTTCCTTGTGCCAGCTTCATGTCCTTTGCTTTTTAGTAATCCACCTTCTGCTGTTGGAAGTGGCATTAAACCTCTAACCTACCTTGAGAAAGACTGCCTAACTAGCTTGATTTAATTCCTGAAGACTACTTGCCTGTTTCTAGGCACAACTGGGAATGTTGTTTTGGCATATAAAACCACACATACCTTGGACTCTGCCTAGCTTGAGGAGTGCTTCCACCCCTGCAATCCTCACTATCTTCTGCAACACAGAACAAGGCCTTTTCCTGGTTTTAAATCAAAAGTGGCTGTTGAAACTGTACCCAGAAACAAACTGGAAGGCAGGGGAGAGATTTTTATCATTGACATGCTACACATTCCAGACACCTACAGTGCAATCCTAAACAGAATTACACCTTTCTAAGACCACTGGCATCAATGGATTTAAAAGAGAATAACTGGTTAGAGTCGCACTGTTAAGACAATGAATGTGCTGCCATGGTCTGAAGAGGCTGATTTTTCCATGTGGTCTTCAAAGGCTGTTCCACACACAACACATGGCAGAAATATAATGTAGATGGTATCAGGGTATAGATACCTCTGTCCAGTAAACGCTGCATCTAGCATACTAATCCAATTAGGTAAAAGGTGTTTTGTGCCACTGACAAGTCCTGCGCATCAATAGTAAGGGCTGGATTCAACAGTCCCCCACCAACTGCCAGTTTTTAGTATTGCTATTATTGCTGTGGCCCAATTAGTCCCCGTCTAGGATTACTGAATATGTAATTGTTGTTATGCCCATCTTTTAATCCGTTTTAACTGTTTTTATTGCTTAATATTTATTTTGCTTATTGTTTATAAATTATTTTTGTAACCTGCCCTGAGCCTGTTCGCAGGAAGGGTGGGATATAAATCTAAATAAATAAATAATAAATAAATTTTGCTGCCCACTTGTAAATAAATATATATCACTGGATGATTAAACAGCTCTAGCATGGAAGAGAAGCCCTAGAAGGAAACCAATTTATCCACAGTTTTAGGAAAATCTACCTGCTCTGTGTCTTCTAAATCAGTTAAATTCCTTGAAAGGTTTTGGTGATGTTAGCATAACTGTGAATCCAAATTAAGATTCTGTCCTGTTTGGGCCGTGCATACAAATAAATCTCACGACATTTCTATCTAAGGGAAACACAAAACGGTACAAAAAGGATTAAATAATGTCATCCTTTTCAGTACATTAGGTACAAAGTAGGTTTGCCTGGCACCCACACAGAAAATGGAGAAGGCTGGCAGAGTAAAGCAGCAAAGGGAGTTACAAAAAGAGACATGCTTGGCCTAACATATTTCAGTCATGATAGCCAGGTATGGAGGTTTTCTACCTTCCGAAGTTTTAGTGGGAAGATAGTTCCCTCATGAAACTCCATTATTTGAATAGTGCAACTACACGTGGTTATGCCAAAGCCCAGATATTCATAATGACAAAGAATGTAACACATCTGACAATAACTCAACCTTTGATCATCATCATGTCATCAAAGAGATCATGTAAGAAACAGGTTGTAGCAAGGAGCTGTTTTAAGAATCAAAAAGCTCTTCTTCTTCTCAATGGAAAACTTGCCAAGGTTCCCCTGGAGCTCTCAAACATTTTCTCAGCACCCATGAAGGCTAGATGCTGCTTTTTTTGGTGGGGTTACAATAAATCAACCCTGACATCCCAATAAATCTAGCACTTCACCAGATTCCGTAAACTGAAGAAACATGGGATATTAACATGAACCTTTGCTTGCTTTCTCCTTTTACATTTCAAAGCATAAATGAACCATTACATTGAGAACACCCACAGTATAAAAAGCAGGACTAAATTCAACCATCTAAGATTAAGCAACATTACTACTGTATCTTATTTTTTTTCCTTTTGTCCAAACCCAGTAATCCTTCCTTATACATAATTGCCATTTGGGGTGGCCACTGGCCTATGGGATAGCGGAATGAAATGCGTTCCCTCAGGCATTGGCCTGTCACCTGCCCCTCAGGGCTACTGCCGTGCCGTTGGCGAGGGGGGTGGAGGAACGAGCATGGCTGCCTTGGCCCGTGCACAGCACCCGGCACCTCCGGCTCACTCTCCTTAGAGCGCCAGGACGGGACAGGCGCTCCATTGGCCGGATGCCCCCACGTCACCTCTCCCCCGCCCAGCCAAGAGAGGCCGCGGCCGGACCGCCGGGGCAGGCACTCCAGCATGGAGCCTCCACCCGAGCCTGCTGCCACCATCAGCACGTCTTCGGTCCAGCCCGCCACGTGCCATCTGAGGCCGCTCGGCAGGCTCCAGGAGTGGTGGGTGGCATGGGGAGTGTCCGCCGTCTTCGGACAACCCCCCCTTGCTTCTCAGGCCACTTGGAGGCCTCCTGGGAGGCCAGGTAGCATGCCGCCTCTCCCCCGGCGGTGCACCGACCGCCACCGTTCTGTCCTCGGCTGGCCCCCACCCCCCAGCCTGCCTTCTGAGGTCGCGCCGATGCCTCCGGGAACGACAGGTGGTGTGTGGCTTCTCCCCCAGTGGCTGGCTGGCCACCGCCGCGCCATCTTCCCCCACCCCCGCGCCATGTTGCCCCACTAGCCTGCCGGGCTGGTGGGGAGAGACCTCTTGTGCCCCCGCAGCACCTTTCCCCGCTCGGCCGCTGTGGCGGCCGGGTGGGGAGAGACCTGCTGCAGTCCCTGTGGCACCTTTGCCCGCTTGCCCACAGCAGCAGCGGCTGGCCAGGGAGACACGGACTTGGGACCGCGCGCCAGCAAGGTAAGGCCTAGGGAGCCCCCCCCTTCCCTCGCCCTTCCTCCCCCTTTCTCTTCCCGGGACCTCTGCCTCTTCTCTCTCCCCCTCTTTCC